CCGGTGTTCAGTTCATCAGATCATACGGGGTCAAATGCGTCGATATCCAATCAAGCCGGTGATCACTATAAGAACCAAGGTGGTTCGAGCGCCTGTTCTAGGTTGATTTGAAATCAGGGTTTTTAGCCAACTCCCCTAAGTGAACTGCTATTGGTTAAAGTCCGGATATTGGCTTTTCATTTTCTCACTTTGGTGGGAAAATACCTCTGCCACGAAAAGGCAGTGAGCAGTGCTTCCTCACCGGAGGCGCTTGGTCTTATAGGATCATTCAACGAAGTGCATGGGGCGGGACCAACGGCAACCCGAGACACACCCCTGGGCCATACTGAGGCTTTCGGAGGAGAACTCGATTAGGAAATGCATGAAAATTTGGTGAATCGATGAGTACGGAAATTGTATTATGTATTAATTGGCAATCCCGACAAAATTATAGGGACACTCCGACGAATATGACGCTCTTGTGGTAGGTGTGTTGTTTTCTGGTATTATTTCGAAGCGATCCGCCAGGGTCAGTCAATTGTGACTGATCGCATGCTGTGTGACGCCTTCGTGGTCAGTATCGCCGGATAAGAGTCAGTCTTTCAGTTTTAGTTCTATTTCACAACGGGACACAATCGGCATTCAGACAATCCCACACTGACATCTGGCACACACTGATGAGCGCAAGTGGATATCAAAGACAGCAGCGCATCATCGCTCAATAGCTCCCGGTTCTGAGTAGCTAGCTGAACAACGCGGACACCCGGGCGTTTAGATCGAAGAAACAAAGCGAACCGCGCCCAGAAGAACAAGTAGTGCCAAAACGCTTAAAATAAATTTGCAGCATTGACTCCCCTTTGTCCATTTTATCAATACAGAAAGAAGACAAGTATCGCGAGATGTTAAAATAAAGCTTAAATTATCAGTTTCAACAAAGAATGTGCACCTGTTGCTTCGATAACCTTCTTTAGTAACGGACAGTAAAATGAGCCAGGTGATTTCGACTCAGCGTCGAAGGCAACAGTGATGAGAAAGCGTTTAACCTCGACAGACTGAATAACTTGCATTACTATGGGCGTGATGTCAAGAGGGAAGAAATAGAGTTTGACAAAGAAGATGTGATTTTCTGCTACGCTGATTTGAGTCAGTTGGCAGTCCGAGATGACAATCTAAATGTAACGTACTGCACACATAAACACCTAAAAG